ATAATAATAATAATCTCAGCATGAGAGGTAGGACTTCCTAAGTATGACAAAAACCCAAAAGCCATAAAAGGAAGCACTGACAAGTTTTACTTCACAAGGAAAATTGCTACATGGCAGAATCAAAGACAAGTGACAAATTAGGGAAAACATCTGCAATTCCTATCACAGACAGTGGTCTAATTCCATTACACCCAACCGGCTCCTATAAATCAATGAGGACAGAAATAGACAGCAGAGGTGGATAGGAAAGTTCAAAGGAAAATCAAAATGGCTCAGTTTCATTCATATTAGACTTAATTTAACACTACCCTGTGATTTCATATGACCCTGCAATTCCACTCCCAGATGTATACCCAAAGAACCAAAAGCAGGAACACGAACAGGCCAGTACTCACTGCAGAACTATTCACAGTAGCCAAAAGATGGAAACAGTCCAAGTGTCCATCAACAGAAGGGTGGATAAACAAAATGTGGCACAGATGTACAATGGAATAGTACTCAGCCGTAAACACAATGGAATATTACTCAGCTATGAAGGGAAATGAAGTCCCAGTGCACACCACAACATGGGTGAACCTTGAAAACAGCATGCTGACCCAAATACGTCAGCCACAAAAGGACAGATGTGGGAGGGAAGGGGTGAAGGGCACCAATTGCTTAGGGGACACACACTGAGCTTCATGGTGATGGAAAAATCTGGAAACATTTAGTGGTGACAGTTGAACAACATGGTAAATATGATTAATGTCACTGAACTGTACATGTAAAAAATGCTGAACTGACAAAACTTGTGACATGTATTATTTACCACCATAAAAAAAGTCATTTATGGGGGAAAAAATTAAAAACCACAACTATGATACTATTTTCACTGACCAAGTGAGCAAAGCCTCAATGTTTGATGCTGTGTGGTGACAGGGGGGTGTGGAGAAATGGGGTCACCCATACAGTGCTGCGTTAACAGGTACGGCATCTAAAGACACCAGTAAGACCACATCTCTCAAAGCTACACGTACAGATACCTCTGACCCAGTATTTCCATTTCTAGTATTGAAATTTCTAGAAATTTCACCCACATGAATGTCACCCACACCCTTGTGACATATACACGGTTCTTGTGACAGTGTACATAGGGCACTGGTCACATGAATTACGGCTCATCCTTTCTTTGGAAAATTACGTGGCTGTGAAAAAGAACGAGGACGCACTCCAGATGCTGGTGCAGAGAATGGAGTGTGCCAGTGAAGAAGCGAGCTGCGGGAGCATGTGTAAAATAGGTGTGCACACACTTTTGCTGGATGTGCATAAAACGCTCCCCAGGAAGCTGGTAATGCTGGCTGCCTCTGGGAAGGGGAGCATGGCTGAGCAGTAGAGGAGGAACGGGGCTCTGTCTCGCCTCTAAGTTCCTTCTGAATACTGGACCCTAAGAATGTTTCATCTTGTCTAAGGATGAGTGACTATTAAAAAAGAAATGCAGTCGTGTAAGCTCAGTGATAAAAAGCAATGGATTCATGGCTGGGTCAGAGACAATAGGGAAGGGTGGGGACTGGGGAGCTGGGGATAGATGTCCCCCTTCAAGAGGCAAGAGTTCTGTTCACACCAATAGCAGGAGTGTAAGAACACAGGCCTGTGGGGCCAGATCCTCTCATTTTTCAAGAGACACTAGAAAGCCAGTTTTATGCAAATCTCCTGATTTTTAAATGCTTCCAAGTACTTTTTTTTTTTCTACAAAAACTATATGGGGGCTAAAAATAACCACACTAGAGAGTTTGGAGGAGCTCTGGTAGCATAGTGCCTAAGGCACTTGACTGCTAACCAGAAGGCTTGTGGTTCAAACCCACCAGCCACTCCTCGGAAGGAAGGTTGGGCAATCTATTTCCGTAGTGATACTGCCTTGGAAACCCAAGGAGGGGTCGCTATGAGTCGGGTCCAACATGAGGGCACATAACAACAACAACAGAGGGTTTGGGATCCCTGTCTTAGGTGACCAAGGACAGACTCTTGAAGCTCACTGAGTCCATCTGCCTAATTTGACACATGAAAGCTGCAAGGGCCAGAGGGGAAGGAGGCCTCAAGATCACAGAGTGGATTGGGCCCTGAGCTGGGATCAGGATCCCATTCAGGACTGTTTGTTTCCAGATTATCCTACTTTCTGCAAACATGAGAAAATGACAGTGAGGGACACAGACACAGCACAGCACGTGGTGGGGACTCAGAGGAGGGATGGGGTGCTGGGGGTGGTCGGGGAAGGCTGCTCGAGAGGAGGTCATGCCTGAACTGAGACTGGAAGGCCCAGTGAGCATCGGCCAGAGGTGGGGGTGCTATCGTAGGGGAGGGACTCCAGAGGGTAGAACAACTGGGCATAGGCCGAAGGGCCCAAAAGAACCAGGGAAATTCAAGACAGAGTGGTGGTGGGTGAGAGGCTGGGTGTGCATGTGGGAGTGACCTAGTGTGCCCAGGCCAGGAGAAAGGCCCTGTGGATTCAGAGTGGACAGAGGAAGGAGACTGGGAGGCTAGGGAGGGGGCTGCTCCACTCACACTTTCGCAGCTCCAGGCTCTTGCTCGGGCAGGCCAGGTGTTGGCCCGGCGGGTTCTGGGTCCTCTGCAGACAGGCCAGCATAGCTGAGGTGGGGGCCCACAGTGGGGCACACTCCACAGCAGGGTCCCTGTGAGGAGGAGATGAGATATTTGTCACACAGGGGCTGCTTTATACCAGCCTTTCCCTCCCACCACCTGGGAATTCGAGCTGGGAGCCTCTACCCTCTACCATGATGACAAAGCAGACACTCTCTGCCCCTTTGACAGAGGTGGAGACTTAAGTCTGGAGCACTAAGAGGTCTCACAGGAAAGAGAAAAAGTCCAGGTCTCTAGAGTAGTGGCCTTCCACCAGGCCAGGGGCAGAGCTGACCAGTTAGAAAGGCCCTGGGCCCCACTCAGCATGCACGTCACTTTCTCCAGGGACGTCCCTGATGCCCCCTGGCCTGGTCAGGTGACTGTTCCCACAGTGACTGTCTTTCTACCTGCTGGTGGCAGACACCCAGCTCTTGTATGACCACTTGTGAGCAGAGTATCTCCTCAGTTGGTCTTGAGCTCATTAAGGATGAAGACCACATCTGGTCATCTTTGGCATCTACAAGAAGGAAGACCCAGGAAATGCTGATGGGCATGTGGGTGCTCTGGTTTATCCAACCCGGGGTCTGTCCCATGCCTGGGGTGTCCACACAACACCTCTGAGTGGGAAGTGCCCAGGATGGGGTCTCTGAGAGGATAAGGGGACTCCAGCCCTGACTCCTGATGAACCTGATCTCAACTTAAAGACTGAGCCCTGACTCGAAACCATGGTCTCAGGACATCAAGCTCAACTGGCATAACATACTACACAAAAACATTGTTCTACATCCTACTGTGATGAGTAGCAACTGGGGTCTTAAAAGCTGGCAAGCAAGCTAGGAAGCTGCCACCTAGATGCAACGAGGTCTCTCCTCGTCAAGAAGAAAGAAGAAAACCAAAATTAATGGAAACAA